AAATGAAATAGACCTCTGAGTTTGGAAACCGATATTAAGAAAACGTAGGGGCAAAAAATTTGAAATTTGGACCATATATAGCCTCACTATTACTCTATTGTGTGCTAAAATTTCAGTTGGTTTCGTTATCCCATTTGTTAGTTATTAATAAAAATGTTGAAAAAATCACGGTTTTCTGCATATAAAATTATTGGTACCTCTCACTTTAACTCGTCTTAATTTTTTTGTTAACTGATAAAAAAAATCCAATTTTTACTAACGATAAGTTGAACCATTGTCTTTAATATTGTAAAGGTCATTTGTCTCAAAAGGTCTTCTTTTTTTATTTTTAAGTGAAACATAAGGGAGTGCTATCTCCGTAAATATGGCATTCTTTAAAAAAAGAAAAAACTGACAGGTAGCAAATAACTGTAAACAACAATTTGAAAAAATATGTTAAAATAATACAGTTATAAATATGATATTCTTAAAAACAGTATCGGTATGGTCAATTGCGTTCACGGTCCGATGCAGAGTATACAGTATAGCCTTTATAACTGTATTATTTTAACAAATTTTTTCAGATTGTTGTTTACGGAGATAGCATCCCCTTCTGTTTTGCTTAAAAATAAAAAAAGAGCTTTCGAGACAAATGACCTTCACAGTACTAAAGACGATAGTGCGACTTATAGTCAGTAAAATTAGAATTATTTTTGTCTAATTTTTTTTCCTGTTATACGTTTTCAAGCGACCTCTAAAAAATAAATATCAACGAAGTAACAATTTTTTTTCATTAAATTTGATCAACAAAATAATAGAAATTAATTACGAGACACTTAATAAATGTCTCGAGGCAAAATTTACTACCGCACTGTGAGTATCAAATATTTATAATTTTTTAATTTTTTTTAAATTTTTTATTTTTTAGAGGTCGCTCAACTAAAAATTAAAATAATTATGAGTGACCTTTAGAAATTAAAATATCAATTGGAAATTTTCAGAATCGAGATTTTTTTCAATCTAGAAAATGATAAAATAACGGGAAAAAAATTAAACAAAAAAAATTTAATTTTTGACGATTTTGGAAATTTTTTAAAATCTTGAGCGACATTTAAAAAAATTTTTTTGAGCTGATTTTTTGAGGGGGCTCTTAAAACATGATAAACTAACATATTTTCACAAGACGAAAAAAAAATCTTTTTTTTTTGACCACCCTACTATACATATTCTCGAAACGTAATTAGTAGCAAGTTTCTATATATTTTAGTAATTAGGCAGTGTTTTTTAAATTAATACGACTCACCAAAGTAAAAAAATAATTCAAGTTATTTCTTTTTTACTGGAAATAGCAGGTAATTTACGTATCGGATTGTTAACGTGAAAATATAAACATTAGACTGTTGACTATTCCTGTTGTGTTATACGTTTTTTAAGCTTTTGAAGAAGAAAGTACATGGAATTTAATAAATTATATCTGCTTTTATAATAAAGAAATGGTAATTCTAAGATTGTTTAAGCTTATTAACTAAAACTTATTGCCTACTTAATAAAAAAATTATTATTGTCCTCGCTAATCTATTAATGATTAATAAAATCTTTACTCTCTTTCCTTATAAGACTGTATGTACACAAATTGGAGCCGTTCCTGAACAATGGGGCGCGAGGCCTGTTAAAATATCGGTCCAGCGTAAATTATTAAACAACACACCTTGAAGCGTTGGCTGCTAGAGCTAGAGCAGCACTTGCTGGGGTCCCGTTTCGTGATTCACGCTGGGCGATATTTTTTGTACAAAATCCCGTCCTTAAGAACTGTTGACTATCTAATGTTGCCGATGTTACACTTAACTTCTATTTTATATGAATTAGGAAAATAAATCCTGCATACATTAACCCAACGTTAAAACTTAAGACTATGCAATACTTAGTCCGAAAGACACTATACAAAATTTAGTTAGTTGAGTTCGGTGTGAAAAACTGCAAGTGCCTCGGCAATTTTCAGGGTAATTTAAATACTATTAAAATTTTTTCCATTAAGAAATTTTAGATAAAATTTTTATAAAATTTTAAATGGAAACATCAAAGCTTATGAATCGTTTGAAAATGTGCAATGTGGTGGTTTTTAGCAATATTATCTCGGTCCTGTTATACATACCTAAGAGATCTTGGTGGTAACAAAAATTTTAAATTTTCTTGTTTATATTTTACAGTAAACAAAAAACTCGTCACTGAAGTCACTGTTTTGAAAATAACTTACCGACAAAAAAAAAGTGTTTGTCTTTTAATTCAGACCTGGTTTTTGCTATGTATTTTGATGTTCTGAAAACGAATTTAAACGTTAGAAAAAATTGTAATGCAATGGTTTTCCACAAATCACTCAAATGCGCGATATTTGAGGTTTTCTGGAATTTTTGTGAGTAACCTCATGCCACTCGTCAAGACTTGTGTGATATGTACAGAATTCTGATTTTCAAAGTTTTGATATAAGAAACTGCATATGAAAGTTTGAGGTACAGTTTTCCAAGTTAATGGATAAAATTTATAAAAACAAACCATATACAAATTGTTGTCGATGCAAAGATTTTATATAAAAGAACCTGCCTGTATAGCAAAATTTTAAGTATATGACCAATTAGTGGTAGAAATCATTTATGAATTTTTGCGTTACTTAAAAACTAGTCTGAAGTCATAAGGGGCAATTGAACAAGAAGTTACTAGCAATCCTTTTGCATAATTTTGAAGAAGAAAATATGTCAAAATTGTTCATCAAACCCTGTTGCCCTGTTTCCTGTTTTTTAAACAAAAGTGACACTAGGACAGCAGTCTATCAATTAAGAGTATTTGTGATAGTTATTATTAATTTCCTGATTGTAATGGATTCAACAAAATGTAAGTGGTGTTTTGTTCCACATTCCACATAGCCAATTGCATCTC